AAACAATTAGAGAGAAAAGAAAAGAGAGATGAGTAAAAATTCTAAATACAAAAAAAAAAAAAAAGGTAATACAGAAATAACAATTTATCCTGATAAAAAGAGGGGCGAAAAGATTTAAAGAAACTATAACATCGCGTCGTTCGTTATATTTCGTGGGATCCCCAGTCAACCCAGATTCGACCGGCGTTGAAAGCGCATCGCTCGCTCCCAACCTTGACCCGCGGGGTGCAGAAAAATTCGCAAAAACGCTCTGGCGCTGTTGCGGTGCTCCGTCCGCACAAACCGCGAATAATTTTACGCGTGTAGGCGCAATTTTCAGAAAGGCGAGCTATGGCCATTCGCCTCTCGCGTGGATTCGAATTTCGCTTCGTTTCGACCGATCGATCTCCTCTCCCGTCCTCGCCCGCGACCATCCTCTCTCCCCATCGACGCAGACAAAATATAACCTTGACCGTTCGTTTATCGAGCTTTCGTTAAATGAAAAATAGAGGAAAGTGAGGAGAAAGCGACGAAAGGAATCGCCGTTCGAGCTAAGCTCAAGAGGCTTATGTAAGCTTTTCTCGTTTGCCCTTCGTCACGGTGCGATACCACGGGGGAGACTTTTGGGAGATTTCGGGATTTTGTGGATACGTTTCTTCCGTTTCGTTTTATATATTGGAATTTTTCTTTAATTCAATTAATTTAATTAATTTCTTACTCTTCCATGGAGGGATTTCTAATTTCGCCAAGAGGAAGTAAAAGACATACTAAGGAGGCAGGGAAAGCGAAGAAGCGAGTGAAAATAGGTTTACCTTGACGGTACAACCTCGTACGAACATTTCGTGGACGTTGATTTCGGGGAGAAGAGGTCGGTCGTATTGATCGAGAAAGATGCGGTCCAACCCCTCGACGCGACGAGAACATTTATTTGCTCGCTGGTTTTGGTTATATTCGGTAGAATTCGTGGCAATTCCGTGGCGAAAGTTGCACAAGGAAACCGCCACCCACTCGCTGCCGATCGCCCACACGCCAGCAAAGTCATTGCGATTTGGGTGTACGCGTGAGAGGCCATCGAGGAGCCTCCTCACAACCTCGATTACGCTCTTCCCCGACGCTTTATCAAGAATCGACCAACCGTTGTATCTGGGTTTTCCAAGTTTCCCAGGCCAAGGACGAGTCCGTTAACTCGCCAAAAACCTTGTTTCTCTTCGCCCCCACCCTCCCCCTCTTTCCTCCTCGCGTGGACCTATTTTGCCCACTTCGTACACGCTTTCTCGCTCGTTAATCTTCCCTCGATTCCCGTCCAAATGTCCCATCCTTGAATATTGCAGAGATTCAACGATTATAATCTCGCATAAAAAAAAAAAAAAGGAAGAAACTTCTTCTTTTCTTCTTTCCCTCGAGATAATTGAATCTCTCTGGCCATTGGCGCAGCCGGCCTTTTCACGATCCTCGTTTGCTTCTTCCTTCTTTTTTCTTCAACTTGGAAGAAAGTTTTGTTCGGCAACGGTTGGTAAGTAAGTTCGCAGTTGTATCCGAGGACGTGCTTTATTTCCTTTCCCGGGGAAACGAGGCAGCGACAGCATTATGCAACCGTTGTTTCGTTTCCACGACCAAGTTTCCTCTCCTGTTCGGCAACTAATGACGTTAGGGAGATTGCTTCCAGTCCATCGCGCCCCTCACGACCCATAAAATGGGAACAGCGCGCGCGCGTGTGTGTGTATATATATATATGTCTCGATATAACTTCGAAGAATTTCGAAGAAGGAATTCGTTGTATATAATCTTGATGCACGTATACTTGGCTCTCTACTGATTAAACAACGCCCTACTAACGTTCAAAAGTCCCTTTTCTATGATCCCGCGACCTCTGACGAGTGTCTCTATTCGAGCGAGGAGAAAAAAATGGCCTTTAGTTTCGACGAAAACGTCGCTCCACTTCTTTCCCTATGCCAAGCGACCTACTCTTTGTCAATTCTCTCGGGGGTGGCGCGAACGAAACGACTCGGAACCAGGAGGAGGAGGAGGAGGAGACGTGTAATGCCAAGAGCTTAATATTAAACGTGCCGTTTCGTGATCGTCGTAAGAAATTAATTTGCAGAATGTTGGACGTGAGATGGACGGCATCGGTCGAGATACGAAAATAAAATGCACGATGAAATAAATTTTATTACGGATACGCGTTTGGTGGAAGGGATACAAACTCGAAGCTACGTGCAGCAAATATTTGGGGATGGTATTTGATTTTTTCGATTGAACCATCGTTTTAACCTACATCGATTTTGAAACGCAAGGACGAAAAAAGAAGAGGTTTTGAATCGAAATTTTATACATACCGTTCTAAAATTTAATGTCAGGAAAAACGATTGAATCGAAAACGATAGCACCGCGACGTGTGATTCGTTCGATAAAGTGGGAAGAGAAAATTTGAAATATTATCGCGTACAGAACAACAAAAGTCGTTGGTTCCTGTTATCTCTTCAGAAGTGAAACAATTACTTTTCATCGAGGTTTTTATATGTGTTGGAGAAAGAAAGATCCGGGTGGTCTCCCGACAAAACGCGTACAATTTCCAAGTTTGGTCGCTTCGTTTTACCCGATACGAGGGTGAAATCGCGTGGAGATACAGATGGGTCCACGAGATAAGGGGGCACGGTCGATACCGTCCTCGAGGAAATTTCTCCGCGCGTTTCCAACGCTTCTGTAACTTTGTTACGCGCGAAATCAAGCGGCTCCTCTCCTCGATAAAAAATTCCAGATACGAAAGAGGACGAAATTTTCCGGTGGCAATTCCTATTCGAAACAGTTTTTTTCTTTTTAATGCAAAAATGTAAATCAGAAATATAGAATAATATTATTCGATCTAGAATTTCTCGGCGTGAATCGTCGTTTGAACGAACGTGTCTACGGTCGCTTCGACACAAAAATCGGAAATTTTGATTCAACATAAACGTTCCACCAAATGAAAATGGCGAAAATGACTTTTGAACGTTTCAACCAGATACACGAGTCGCGTTATATGATTTTTATCAACGACACGATATTTTTATCCCAAAATATACATCGCCGTTCCACACGCGCGAAAAAATCATTAATGAAAATTTTTACGGCGGATACAATTCGCAAAGAATCGCAATTATGTATGTGAACGTCTTCGAATGCGTAGAGGAATTCTGATTATTTTTCTTTTTCTTTCATTCTTTTTTTTTTTTTTGTAATTTAAATCGATTCGATATTTATTGGAAGTATAACCACTCCTTTTTCAACTACTCGAGTTATAAAAATGCGCTTTCGAATGAATTCCGGAACATCTCTTTCGATCTCGAGCGTCGAAATAAACAAATTAATTAAAAAAAAAATGCGAATAAACAAATATTTCTCTTTTCAACGATATGTAAAACATAAATTAAGAGATAGAATTTATCTTTCGGAGAACGAACGAAAAATACGTACGTGAGTGATACACGGCGATCGATCACAGATGGATTATGCGAATCGATGATAAATCGTATCTATCGTCTCATATCTCAACCGTGCACCTCCTATTTCACGCTGAAAAATATCCGTCTCATCGAGCCTTCCTTCCAATGTCATAATCAACAACGTGATTTTTTTTTTCTTTTTTTCCCCTCCCTTTCTATCCCTTTCTCGTGATCGCTCGCACGAGCGTTTTTCACAATGAAATATGTATACGTGACAGTGGAAAGAAATGGAGGATGGAGGCGGAAACAAAAAAGAAAAAAAAAAACCAGATATCTCACTCGCCGGTGTAAACATTATTGATGAGATCTCTGCGCGAAAAATTTGGCGTTATCTCTACATCTGGAAAGGAAAAATCGCGCTCCTATGTTCTCCGTCGGGAGAAGCGAATTCCTCTTGAATATACGAGCTCAGAGATACAGTTTTGTCGCAAATAAAATACGATTCGAGTTGATGGTGAAGAGAAAGAGCTGAAGGCAAAAATGATGGAAAAAGTAAGGCGAGGAAGATTCGTGAGAGAACGGAAGGAAGTCGAGGAAGAAAGAAAATTGGAAAGATCGAGAAAGTTGATTTAATAGTTTGGTGCATCGATAACGATACGATGAATCATTAAACTTCATCATAGATGCATCGTTAATCGGGCAAAATTCAGTGTGGCGAGTCGAGATAAATCGAGAATTTTTACCTTCAAATCTTTTTTACTTGGATCGCATAGCTGATGTGTACTTTTAATATGCGTAACGAAATACCAAGAATCGTTCGAGAAAAATCGAATCTCGGGTGTAAATGAGAAATAGTCACGCATGAGCGTGATATCTTTATGGAAATACGAGATTTTTTTTGTTTTTTTTGTTTTATGAATGTCGATGGTTGGAATACGGCGACTATCGAGAGATGAATAAATTTCTTTGAAAAATATCGAGACTATTCTTAAAGCTTTTCACTTTTGGATTGATTAACTTTCAGGGATTTAAACTTCGAAGTCTATAGATTTTTTAATTTAAAATTTTTACTTTCTTATATTTTTTTTTTTGTTTTGAACTTTTGAAATAATCATTAATCATTTTTTCTTTGCGATTATAATTTTCGATTGTTTCTTCCTCTAATAAACAACTTTATAAAAAGGATAATCGCAATTCTATTTTTTGCTCTTCACTTTCTTATTAAAAAACGCAACTTTGTCGCTCGCAACGAGTATCACTGGCAACGAGGAATCAGTCTCTTGAAAAATCTTTCCATCTTTTTCATTTTCTTAAATTTGAATCCAATTAAAAGTTTTTTTTATAATTTTTTTGAACTCTCACCAATTTAAAATAATTTGCCGAGAGTAAGTATCCGTATAAAAATGATTTATCGATACAGAAGATCGTTGAAACGATCCAGAGTTTAGGTTAAGTTGATCAAAAGAATAAGAGATGTCGCGATGTTTCATAAATTGAGATACGTGATTTTACGTAACATTTTACGTTTTATTTAATACGATACGTCGCCGTTCATACTCGTATAAATGCATCTATATAGTAGAAATTTTAAAAACTCACCTCCTCCAAATGCTTGTTGCCCTTCCTTATCCTCGGATGGAGAGCCTTCTAAGCTCGCGGGACCACTATCGGCTCCGCCAGTTGCGCTATAAATAACAACGAGAAAAACACGTGAATAAAATATGAACAAACTGCATAATATCGTGCAATTACGCTATCCTACGAAGACTTTTAAAAGAAAGCTTCTACGTAAAATGCAGCATGAATATAGAATAAGAACAAAACAAAGTATTCTATCCATTAATGTATCAAGTGAATTCCAATGCTGTTCTTCGAACTTTGAATACTAAAGCTTACCTTATCAATCGCTTACTAATCGAATAAATAAAAATAAGTATGTATAAATCATTCTAATAATAAGAAAAAAATTATTTCAAATTCATCGATAGATCGTTTAAAATCGTACAGTAATAAAATTCAACACTTTCACAGTGTGATCAATGTTCTTAACCTCAAAAATGCCCGTACAAAAATACTCGGAGAAAAAGTCGCACAACATTCCAAACACACAAATGTATCGTTTCCTCAATTGTATTCACTTGTATCATTTTTTTTCACCATATATCCTTTCGATCGTTTTCTAAATCACTTCAATTTTCAAATTCTTCGTCACTTTATCACACTGTAGAAGGGTTAAACAATATCACATGTAAAAAAAATTCCACCAAGATACTATCGAAGATAAGATTTCGCTATGTATAAAAAGATAACTTCTTACCTACTAGCATCGTCGTCTTTTGTCTGTTCGACGGTACCCTCGGTGGTGGTTTGCGCCACTTGGGCCCCGTTCATTGTTTTAGGGCCCTGCGATTCGCCTTCATTTCCTTGTCCACGGCTCAGTCCAGGAATTCCACCGCTAAACCAGCCTGTCATCTGAGATTTCACACCAACCAGCATGTCCAATTTGCTGCCGCTTTTGGTCGGGCTATAAAGGAGAAGATTTTTTTTAATTTACCACCATGTCACGGTTTCGACGGTTTTAACATCAGTAAGAATGAAAATAACTATGGATGTAAAAATTATGAAAATGCATTTACTGCATTTAGAAATGGAAAGTTTTACGCGAGTAATACGAAGGAAAGAAATGAGAAGGGATCGTTTATCGCGAATGATTTGTTCTTTTATTCTTCCAAGAGTTAATAATTATTTGAATGATTTTGATTTAGCTTCTCTTTTTTCTTTTTATTTCGTTTATTATCGTGTTTTTCTTTTTTTATCGTGTTAATCGTGTAACATTGTAAAGTTTGAATCTTGATTTCCAGATAATAACTTAAGTGGGAAAGTTATAAAAATACATAGTTTAACAACTGTAAGTGTTCTTAAGAAACGTTCAATACGGAACAATTCTATCTTATCTCTATCCGGAATGTTTGCAATTACTTCGTGTAATAGCTCTAACGAAAATAGTTGCGTGAAATTCAGTTTAAATTTGAGAATCGTATAGGTTAAGTAAGAAGAAAGAGTTAAAGATGTGTAATCGATTTATTCCAATGAAAAATAGAGAAATTTCTTTTCTCGTTTCTTATGAATAATCGATGTTTTCATTCCGTTGAACATGTTTAAACAATCTACGTAAACACTTCTACGTAACAATAGGCCAATTGCAGAAATGTTGACAAAGATCGTACTATAAAAATGTATATTTTTCATCGCTAGAATAATAGATGGAAATTGTTAACGATATGACAATAATATTAGTTGTAATATGGATGAATATTAAAGACTTGTACTTGTAAAGTTCGCGTATATCAATAATTTATGTTATGTCATATAACTTTGCAACACATCATACAATTAATGCACTTATAAACCAATTGCTTTTATTCTTTTAAATTTGCTTTTTTTTTTTACATTCAATGCGAAAAAACTAGCTTACGTTATTGATTTGTCGTAAATATAAAAGTTGATTTTATGCCAACAGAATTGATTCTAGAGTTTATGATGAATTTTTTTTATGCAAAGAATCCTAAAGCATCCTTATATTCTTCTTTTTTATCACTCTAAATAAAACTAGGTATTTTTCATTTTTCCCTATTTGTTTAACCTCATCAGTTGTTACGATGGTTATCTAACCTTTAAGGGAAACAGGTCAATAAGGAAGAATGTGTTTCAAAGTGGGTTTTCGATTCCTACCTATTCGTTGTAAATATATTACGAGTAAAAATAGGTCAACGTGATCAAGTCGAGAACAACAGCAATAAAACATTGTTGCAACTGTAACTCGTTTAAAAGTATCGTGGCTTTTATAACCATTTTATCGACATTATAATTATAAGCCAATCAAAAAGGATTTTTAATAATCTTGAAAAAAGTACATCTTATTCCTAATATCTATTTTTTTCCCTTCAATTTAGATATCTTTTTTGATCTAGTTAAGGATTTCTAACGTGTTTGTTTGTTAAATTATTTGTTACGCATGGAAACTATTAGTAACTCTTTCTGATTATACACAAGAATATTATGATAACGTACTTCGTTAATAACCGATATTAGATTCGCATCGAACCGATGCAATTATTTTAAATTACCTGCTGTTACACCATACGATTATATACGCAATGTCGTTTATCAATAACTAACAGATTCTGAGAAATAATAAATACTTAACCTTAAATGTTTTACAAAAATGTTTTGCCAAAAAATTTATTATTTTTCTGCATATCGTTAAACTATCGAACGATTATAAAAAAAAAAAAGTGAATACAACAGAAAATAAAATAAATATAAAAGAATGGAAGATGGAAAAAAATTACGAGTCACCATTATATGAAATTTAACAGTTTCGTGGGAGGGCGACTGCGGTGGTATCGATTGCGACCTATATAAAAGATTACGACCACCTCCCTCCCTTTTATGGAAACATCGCTGTTTCTTCGTACATGAATAGAGTTTATTTGTATCTTCGACTAACCTCAATCACATATACAGTATATTGCTATATATATGTATATATAGATTTCTTAAAAAACATTGTTTTAACCGCTTAATGAGAAAACAATTTTTCCACCGAACAGAAATTTTCGAATTTTGAAAGTTCTTGCGCAGTTTTTTAATCAAAATGTTCATTTAATGCACATTGCAATGTTTATCCTGAAAATAACTGAATATATACAAAATAGGATGAATCAAACAACTAAGAAATTATTAAATTATGTTAAATTATGTACTTTGTTGTAAGTTGAGAAATACATTATTGGAAAATTAGACAATAAAATGGATTTTACGATTTTTTTTATCTTATTTTCTTTCTTTCTATCTCCCCCCTCCCTGTTTCTCAGCAAATGAAATACGCAAATTAAAAGCAGCTCGATAACGTATTTAATTCTTCTGATTATCTTATGTTTGTTTTATCTTCAGTTACTATTTCGCATTGTTAAAAATACATCTTTATAAAGACACACAAAATAATGAAAGGAATGATTTAATAAAAAAATAAAATAGAAAGAAAATAATAAAAAAATTATATTAATTGAAGATTAGATTACTAGAAAATATGTATCTATTCAATATATATTGATTTCGGCACAATAAGAATCGACATTGAAATTTATATATACACCATGTCAAAATTTGTGACAGTGATCTAACCTATATATCGCAATGGGATTTTTCGATCCATAAAAATCTATTTCTGAAATCTATTTTTCGTGATGTAACTTTTTGAGAATCGTCATATAAATGTCATATTTTGTATATAAATTGCCTATGAAAAGGTGACATTTTGTCTGAACAGAAAATGTGAAATATCTAACTAATAACATTGGAAATTGAAAATAAAAAACGCATGATATAATATTTAAATGTCTGTAACATTTAATGTTAAAGTAAAAATATAAAAATGGAAATAGCGGATATTATATCTGATTTTATAAGATATGATATTTTATAAATATTATGTCTAATTTTATAAGAAATGTTGCTGAATTATAGGATGAAAAAAAAAAGTTTTTATTTTCTTAACATTTGAAAGAAACTATAAAGAATATTTTTATAAAACGAAATGATATTATTTGAAATGAAATTTTTAATTAGAGTAACATAATATTTAATCGATAATACTTTAATTATCTATTATTATATTGCTATTATAAAATGTAATAAATTTATAAATTGAGATTAATAATTGTAAAACAAAGAAAAGGTTAAGTATGAAGATTTTACGATTGTATATTAACATTTTGTTAGTGTTTTAATTCGCGGAACGTCATAATACTGTCGCATAAGTAGTTTATATAAGCATAGAAACAAATATTATCGATTTAATCTCAAAACTGTATTTAAGATAGAATCTAAAATTTTGACGCGTCACATAGATGCGCAGAAACAGCATGTACGCATTTGACATTCTATTATAATCATAAGTTACATCAAAAACAACTATTTTATATAACAAGAAAAATATTATTAAAACGCAATAGGCATTTCTAAATCTTGAATAAAGAGATAAACATATTATTACAAGATTAATAACTTTTATAAAATGCCAAAATGCAAAACTCATATCAAATTATGACGTTTGACGATAAAACAATATAGGTTAAACTGATACCTATCTTTCCTGTCCAATTCTTCTCCTTCGGCAGTTACAGGAATTTTTTCCTCAGGCGGTAATTCCGTGCCGGCATCCTCTGCCTTCTTTCCCATCCATGTAGACACCTGATTCGTTAAACCGGTGAACATTTTCAATTACAATGCGACAGTTGCTTCACACTTAAATATGTGCGTGATATCTTAAAATCTCCTTCCTATTCTCTACGCTAACACGAACGTTACTGAAACCCTTATGGGTCCGAATGACGGCAGAGACTTGTCCGTTTTAATGGTCGCGCAACCACGAACTGCGCGGATTCTACGTACGTTAGCGCATTTCGTATTGCGCATTATAGTTCATGCAACCATAGCGCCATTTTGGCTTAACGAAAACAAATTGAACTAAAATTATAATCGATTTCCATGTACATAACGAGAAATAACCATAGACAAAATATAAAATAGATCTATTACTTAATACATTTTCTGTCCTTTTTGTTGACAGAACTTAATTTAAACTTTTCTTAAAGATTTATATGTGATATGATATTATATATCTCCCTTATCATTTTATCAATTCACAATAAAATAATTACAACAGTTAAATTAAATTTTTATATAAGATATATATAAGGTACGAAATAATTTTTAGGTAATTACAAAATTTAATTTAAATTTTACTAAACAAAAAAGAATAATTATACAATGAATCTCAAATTGTTTTTTGGAATCTAAATTTTAATTTGAATTTTTATAAATTAAAAATGTACTTTTAAAATTTATAAACTTCTTATTTTATCATTTGACAATTAGTTCATCAATAAATTGTATGTTTATGATAATCACAAATTATATAATTTGTATACATGAATAATAGCTTAATAGATTTCAAATAAGCATTAAGATTTCATTTGATTATTATAAAACAGAAAATTATAAAACAGATTTGAAAAATTTAATATTTGAATAATCAGACCTGAGAATTTCAAATAAATAATGTTATGATCGAAAAATAGTGTTTCGATAAGAAATAAAAACTCTTACGTGTAGTTTTTGTTATGCAAATATACCAATATATTTCTATTACAAGTATATTACAAATATGTATATACAAATTTTTATATGTTTAATATATTTTACATGTTTTTATATTTTTTTTATTTTTATTTTAAAAAACAATAATCAAATGTTGTCTTTAACATAAATTTTATAAAAAAAAATATAGATGAAGACAATAAATAATGTGGAAAGAATAGAAATAAAAATTATAGAATCAATATCATTTTTAGAGTACTGAGAGAAATTAATATAAATAAAAAAATAAATATAAATATAAGTAAAAAAATAAATAGAAAAAAGATAAAGATAAAAATTGATCTTTTATACCATCTCTTGAATAGTGAAAAGATATTTTGTTTTATTGCAGAAATGATTCTCTAATTTTTATCTCATCTTTTACAATTTTTGTCATTTTTCAATATTTGTACTTTTATTTACACTTATTCTATATATCACAAAGATAGATGCGGCACATCATTTTCATCACTTTTTTTTCAAAATCATGATGTTAAAATGTATCAATATACATATATATATATATCAAAAAAATCGGATTTTTAAATTTTTAATATATGCTATGTATTTACATATCATTAATAACAAATATTTTAAATGTTTTAATAAAAAGTATTTCTAAGTATTTTAAAAACATTAACTTTAATAATTCGATAAATAAAAATATAAAATATACCTTAAATAATTAATAATTTCTTATTTTAATATTAAAGATTTTTCTTATCAATAATTGACTAAAGCTGTGAATCTACAGTAAAACATATTTTTTTGTATGTCCACAACCAGTTAATAATTGAATGCAAAAAACTGAATTGAAATCATCAAATATATCACATATTTTGAATTCTGAATGTTTTCTTTAATACTGATTTTATTTGTTGGACGGATTATAAATCTTTCATATTAAAACGATTTGTTAAAAATAATTAAAAGTATCATCATAAATATATTGCAATGATTTTTTATCTATACTTGTTAGAATACTATTAATGTATATATAGAATACTATGAGAAAAAAATCCGTACAGTCTTTGTAATAAGTTTTCTGCATATTGCGCAAGATTTCATATCACAAGAACATTTTACACAAGAAATCACATGTCCACATGGTAAAAATACTACTTCTAGTTCTTCATTGTAACAAATTTTACATATCCTTGCATCATCTGCAGATTTATTATTTTGTACTTTTCTATTTGACATATTCTCTGTTATAGATTCTATATTGCTTATACTAGGTTCTATACTATTATTTTGATAACTTGATTCTGAATTGCTATCCGTACATCTTGTTTCCTGAAATAAATATAATGTTATATATGCAATTATTAATTATTATATTGAATTATTAATTATACATATAATATAAAATATAATATTCTTACTTGTGTAGAAGGTGAAGGTATATGTTGGCCTGTTATTTTATTCACATAATCTTGTCCTTTAACCATTAACAAATAATAACATTTAGGAAACCACTTTGCATGTTGTTCCCAAGGTTTATCTTCTGGTTCCCAGTCTCTTAAACCACATGCACAATAATAACATATGGTTTGATCATCTTTTCCTGTATAATAAAAACCTGCATCTGCTAATTGTTCCTTTGTTTGTAGCTTGAAGCTTGGCCATGTTGAAAATGTGTTTAGCCTTGCATCATAACTACCATATTCAGGATATGCAGGTTTCTTAGGTTCTTCCAAATTTAAACAGCTAAGTTTAACAATTCTTGGCAATTGTAATTCAGTTGAATAATCATCAACACTAGATGTAAGCTGATGTTCTAAATAAGAACTACTTCTTGGTTGTACCATTGTATTAGGATCTATTGGTACATTACCACAATTTATTTTACAAATAAATCTACACTTTGCTGACCATTTCTCATGATCAACCATTGGAATATCACCTCGCACCCATTGACATATCTCAACTTGACATTCAAAACATCTAACTTTATCACATTCACCCGTATAATAAAATCCAGCAGCTGCAAGTTTTTTAGGTTCTATATATGACACAGGCCAATTTTTAAAACTTTGAAGTCTTGCTATTTCAAAATGATAATCGATATTATCTATTTCATCATTTGATATATGAGATGTTATGAAAATTGGTGATGTTAAATATGCATTTGTTGCAGTTTTGAAATTTGAATCATTTTTAAAATTTTTGAGCTTGATATCAGCCATTATTAGAAAAATTTGATAAGCTGAAATTAAAATTAAAATTTATAAGATAAATTTATAATATATTATTATAATATATACATATATTATAAATATATATTGCTATAAATTAAAAATTAAAAATTTTTAAGATAATCTTTTATATCAATTTCGTTTTGTAATATTTGATAATAATATAATTAAAAATAATTAAAAAAAAGAAAATAGAATAAATCAAATACAATTTATTATTTCTTTAAAGTAGAAATGAAAATTGTAATAAAAATTCATTATAGTATAGTACTCCTTATATTTTATATTATTTTTTGAATAATTTAAATTGAATTATTTAATATTTTTATATCAAAAAATGAATTGCAAAAAGTACAATATTTATCTTGTATAAATGATAATTACAATTCGAAATTAATCTACTATTTTAAATCTTATCTTAGTATCAAATTAATAGTATTTTTAATTTTAAATCTTTTCTAGAAAATATTACGTTCGTATGATTAATAAAATAAAGGGAAATAAATTTCACATACCTATTAAAATAACTGCAAAATAAGACACACTTTATACACGCACGAATATGCACATGAACTTTATCAATCTTATTATCGATCACTGATCTTATTACTGAAGCATATGTAAATGAGGAAAGTTATATAAAATTACACAAACTAATTCTCACTGCATATGCACTATTCAGTAGAAGAAATAAATATTTGAATTTCACTTCCGATATAAGTCAAAATTACTTAATTTTGAATTATATATTTCACCGTCACTTCCAACCTTACTCTTGGAGCGTGAGCGATAGAATGAAGTAAAATTTTATTGCAAATAACTAATAGCCATCTATAGGACAAAAAATAAGTAATAGAGCCATCTATCGGACAAAAAATTAATTAGCTAAATAGAGACATTAAAATTTAGAAAAATGTTTAAAAAAAGTGAAGAATAGCTATTATATTAACAATTAAAAAATTAAACATTAAAAAATAAAATAAATTATTTCCTAAAAATAATTCTTATAATTCTGTATATATTATTTATATATAAAATCTCATAGTATAAAAAAATTAGCGAAAGCTCCGATAGATGGCTACGGTAATATACTTTTACTCGCAATAAAATTAAATGATAAATTTTAAATATCCATTAGAGAAATTTAAGTGCAATATTCTATGTTATTCACAAATTTTGTCATATCCGTAAATTTTTTGTACATGGTAAAAGTTAAATATCTTTAATATATTTACAAATATATATATATGAATATATACAGAATATTTATAAAAATGTGGGATATCTTTGGAGGGTGGATTCTAGACATCAAAATGATAAAAAAAGTTCATATACACATATGTCTGATAAAGCTTAATTAACGAGTTATAAGCATTTTAAGTTTGTATTAGATAGAGCGAGACGGCGAGTTGGGTTTGCGATAGTACCGTATTGCAATGTCGCTTATATAGTGGAACCCCTCGATGAAATATATTAATATTATATAAATATACTATATTTTTCTACATGCAAATTGATTATTTCAAATGAATTTCAATAGATAAGATAATATACAATGTACATAAAATATCGTGTAATGTAATTATGCAACATTTTTCATCATTTAAAAAAAATTTTAATTATGCAAATTGAAATCTATATAATTAGTTATTTAACAGAAACTCACCTCAGACAAATTACACAATATTTGGAGTTGATAATTATACAATATTTCATTTAAAATCATAAATGAATCATTGTATTTTATTCAATCTATCGTACTTATCAAAATCCATAGAAGGAAATCAAAACATACTTCTATAAGATTTCGAATTAGAAAAATTGAATCTGTTTTTATATGCATAATTACTTTTTTAATTATTTTCACATATACAAGAAAATCCGAAATATTAATGATACTTGAATCAATTTGAATTTCAGATTATTAAATTATCTAATCAAACCACTGACAATTATTTATCTTTACTTCACTTGTACTAAATTTTATTTTTCATTTTTATGCAAAGACAAATAATAATCGATCTGGATAAAATGCTTAATTTTAAAACTTAAAATGCTTACAACTCCTTAATTAAACCTTATCGGATATATGTGTAAATGAACTTGTTTTATTGTTTTAATATTTAGAATCTATCCTATAAAACTGCCCCACATTTTTATAAACACCCTGTATATTATATATACATATTTTATATATTACAATTGATTACATTGGATAAAAAGCAATGGATCAATATTTTTTTGATTCTTCAAGCTTCATTCGATGCTTTATAACATGCGTTCTTTTTATATAAAATGTTGTTATGATGTTATATATGTTTATTTAGTATTCGTGATATAATTCGATATAATTTTCTATCGATAAAAAAATTTTATTATATTTAATATACTTTCTTCGATACATGTTTCTTAAATTTCGGATAGCGGCACGTAGCCAACGTTACTAAGTTACGCGTTTTGTAATTGATTAATGTTTTTTTTTTAATAATTCGTTATAACAAAATTATAACAAAAATTACATAGAAAAATGCTTGAAATTATCTCGGAAATCTCTAATGAACGCATGTTTTTACATTTTTGTATTCAGTTATAATATTTTTCCTGAATGTTCTGGTACGGTTATAATAATATAATAAATAGGCTCGGCAATAAAATCGGTTTTAAAATCTTACTCAGCAAAAAAAGAGTAGAAAGGAATTTTGAAGCATTCTATCAATAAATAGATGATTGTGTGTTCAGACAATGAATAGATAATGTCCAGATAAGGACAAATGGTTTAGGATGATTCAGGGACAATACGGTTTATATTGCAGATTTAGAAATAATTCTGCATTGTCAATGTTATATCTACCTGAGACGACCTTTCTAGCCAGTCTCAATAGCAATCAGCTACCTGAAAAAAAAATATTGTAATCATAGGCGGAAAAATTTTCTGAGAAAACAAAGGATTTATGAGTGGTGCAGCCCCTCGGATTATAAAAAATTTTCCTTGAATTGGGGTACCGTTCAACCACGTGGTTGGTCGGTACCGTTATTAGATACCTGTGTACCTCATTGAAAACCGATAACCACTTAATCAGAAAGGTAGGGCGGGGGAGAGGCTTTAAGAAATACTAAGTTTGGGGAGAATCCTTAAAAACCGGGCGAGAACCTCAATAATTCTCAGAATCTGCAGAAGTTACAGAATCTTGAGAATTTATAGAACCTTCAGAACTTAGAATTTAGTGATAGTGTGAATTATCATTGACGTAGGGATTTTGTCTTTGATCGTCTAATGAACTGAACTTGTCAACAACGAATTCTGTAATAATTATTTATAATTATTATATTTTGTAGCGAGTTTAAGCTAACAATTTGTTTATCGAATTTACTTTTCTTAGTATCAAAAATTTCGATTAGAATATAATTTGAGAAAAAACAAATTTTTTATGAGACATAATATGTATTAATAATTTGTATATATGTGCATAATCAGTGTATACATGTATTGAGAAAACAGTTTTTAAGTTCTTAATACATATCTAACAATAATTAATTAAAAAACATATACAAATTATAATAATTTAATATTCTACTGTGTAATATAATATTCCTTTCTCCCTTGTTTTTATTCTAACATTTGAAAGAAAATTTTATAACACAAAAAATAATAAATAAAAATAAATAGAATATATTTTTTCTTTCAATTATTTATAACATTAAAAAAAAATAATTTAAAAAAATTATGTTAATTGTGAAAATGAAAATTTTAAAATGATTCAAGAATGCAGGATGATGTTTGTGAATTAATGTGCACAAGCACATAAGTATACATACATTTATTTTGTTCTCTTTATTACATATAATATATATTTAACCCTACCATTAAAGAGAATCTATGTTGAATAGAATGAAAAATAGCGCGATTTGAACGATATTGAACTTAAACGCCAAGAGATTGTACTCAGAAACTCGACGCTCAAATCCATCGTAACACAATTCACTGAAAGATTACTGGTTCAAAAAAACTGGCAAAATTATTTTTAACGACCTTATATAAAAACATAAAATAATACAAGCATGTAAATCCTATCAAAGTAGTAGATTTTTGCCAGTAATAAATTTTAACACACACGATTCTCGAGTACAATTAACTAGACATATTATTTTTTTTTTTTTTATCAAGTATTACTGACAATAATAATCTTGAATATTCTCAAATTATTCGATATAGAAATTTTTAGTATATAACTGTACAGTCTCGATTGGATTAAAGAAATTTTGAGATCCTAGTGTCAGTATTAAAATATATTTATTCTAATTAAATTTTAACTAAATATGAATTACCATCCAATGCTGGTATTATTATTTTATTATCTAATCTCGCTTGTTAATTGTACGTATTTCTTTTTTTCTTAAGAAAATAATCGTAATTGTAAAAGAAAATAACGGTTCACAATGTATATACGTAAATTATCATAGGCATCTTTACTATTCAACCCCTCTCAGTAACTATGCCTGTACGTCTAAACGAAAATAAAATATATAATAAATGTAATATATGCTCACCCGAACATTCTAGTCGGCACCTGTATATCATCGTTATACGAAATATGTCGTGCATTGCCGATTATTCACTTCCCATTATATCCTAAATCTAGCTGCACAGATGTTCGTCGAAGATTCGAAACATTCGAGCTAGACGTGGAAAAATAATCTATTGTTTAGTATAACATTGTATGTTAATACTTCGCACATTCGTACGTATTTACATACATATATGTATACAAGATAAAAACAATATAGCGCAAATAAAAATTAAAATATTAAGAAGCGATATCTATTTATGTAACTGTATTTTATATATTTTATATTTATGTAAAAATTTATTTAAATTTTGAATTGTAAAAGTTAATTATGAAATTAATTATGATATATTGTATCGTTATTGTTTCATTTCCATTATTTTTTATTCAATAAAAATTAATTTTTATACTAATAAAAATTAATTTATAGTTAAAGATTGGACAGATATATTTTTAACATAGAAAAAACAAATGACAGATCGTATAGACCTGAATGGATTCGATGTTTTCATCTGCTTAAACCTATCTCAAATTATATGTTTCGATAATCGAATATATAAATTTCTCATTAATTTTACATTTGTGCTATATCGTTTATCTCTGATATACACGAGATTCCACTCATTGTTTTATACAGATTAAAGCGACCGATAATCGTGCTGTTTCGAAATTGATCGATGTGAAACAAATAGATTAATTTTTCCATTCTCTTTTTATCTTTCTTCTTCTTCTTCTTTTTTTAATCGATTTTTTTATCAATGAAATTACACACATATCATGTAAATTTATCTAGTTGAACACAACGAAGTATGAAATTGAGTATTGAGCAATAGATCTTTTTTTTTTCTTTTTGATTAGAATTAATGATTTTATGAAGTGTTTCGAAGCCACGACGTTTTTTATACAGCAGTTCTCTCGAAACAGCATAATTGTCGATTAATATATAAGTTCTTCAACATATATTAAAACGAAAATATTAACGAGTATTTTCGTCTACGCGAATTTATGCTTACGACAGATCACGCGCAGCAAAGCACGTGATAGTAACATCGAGATGCATAGAAATATTGCACTTTCCGTGAAAAATATTCATCAGAAATGCATTGTATGTCTTCGCTATACTATTGTCGAAAAATCGTTAACTTCTCGACGTTTTTTTTTTTTACTCGTCGTTTAGTTAAAATGAGTTTTCTTTTTTTTTTCTGAACAAAAG